TTTTTTAATGAAAGCACTTTATTTCTTCACCAAAGACCACCTCAGCAGCTCACAAGACTCCTGATAATAAATGTTGCTTTTCTGGAGCATCCTCCCCCCAAGAGACAGTAGAAAGTCATGGCTTGATAATTTAAACAAGATTAAGGAACATGCATGTAAACACAGTTGTGTGCTTGCAGTATGGGGACAGTCAGTGCACAGCCCAGCAGAGAAGGGGATTTCCCAGCCAAAACATCTGCAAGAAAGAAAATCTTGTTTTCTGTGGGAAAGTGGAGAAGAATGAGATGTGTTTGTGGAGGAGTCAGACCAAAGGCTGCAGAGGGTGAACATCCCAGGACAAGCAGCCATACCACACCTGACATATCTGCAGTGACACAGCACAGCTGCTAAATCCCTCTGGACAGGCACAGAATAGTCATCATTTGGGTAAACCCTGGGGCAGAAGTGTCCAAAGAAACTGGGCAGAAACTGGGCAGCACAGGGACAAACAGACAGAGGGAAAGGGAGACTCCAGGGTTAGAGGTTTGCACTAGATAGAGCTAAACCAGGATCACAAGAAGAGCCTCTGAGTCTGCCTTACTGCTAGCAATCTTCTGGCTCTCCCTTTCCACCCCAGACAAGGAAAGGTTTTTCACGCTTATGGGTTTAAAGCATCTCAGCCAACCTCAGTTGGCTCAACCTGCACATCAGTTTCCCAAATTCATGAGAAGCTCCAAAATATTCTCTTCTTTGCTGCAGTTCTTGCCCTATGGCTGTCCCTCCCATTTGCTCCCAAGCAGAGCTAAGGGAGCTCTAGATCTTCATTAGTTCCCTCCAAGCCTCATCCCTGCTGTCTGAGCCAGGTGGTGCCACCTCACCTCAACCTTCTACAGATCCAGCTCTGTTTTGCAATGCAGCCGTGTCATTTCGCTGTGGTAGCAGAACCACTGGGGAAAGGAGGGAGGGCAGGTTCTCCCCTAGACTCCTGGCCAGGGGGCACACCACAGGAAGCAGAGAAAACCTTACTTAAGAGGCACAGCTAAGCAGGAAAACAGAAGGGACAAGTGGGAAGTGCTATAGAAATTGCACTAAGCCTCCCATCACTGCCTACTGGTTCATTGAGCAGGATGGATAATGGGGAAGGTACTTTCCAGAGGCTTCTGGCAGTAGGACAAGTCTCCTATTCGCTTGTCCTCCTGGTTTTCTCTTTAATCTCCAGTTTTTACTGCTACTGTGCATAAAGAGAAGATGGGTGCATCTGAGGGTAGAGAGGATGGGTCACCCCTCCCTTTCCAAAGGGTGCTCTGAGCCCTGGGATCTGGGCAAGGGTGCGCCTGACTCGTGGCAATGAACTATAGTACCTGCAACTTATAAAAGCACAGGGCTGAGCCCTGCGTGGGCACAAAGGTTCCCATATCAAAGAACTTCTGGGTTCAGTTTGACTCTAGGGACCCAGGCCAGGAAAAGCACCCTGGTCCTGTGCCCAAGTCCTGGGCATCAGACCCAAGAAGCCAGACCATGGAGGTGCAGGCTGGGTAATACCACCAGGGAGAGTTCAGCTGCAGGAAGAGGTTGGCAGGGAAGGCATCAGCTCCTGCTCAGAGCCCCACAGCCTGGCCAAGGATGCTGGCATCTTCCCACAGGACACATCTCAGCAGAACGTGTCTGGACAAGCAGCACCGGTGATGACATGCTGGGAATGAGAGGGGAGTAAGCAGTGTCCCGAGGAGGATTGATGCCAGGCCTGGATCTTCTCCATCACCCACACACATTATTGTTTAGGCAAGAGTAAACAGTGCAATGGGACAAGAAGGGGCTTTTAATTACCTGGCTTCCCACTCTTCCTAACCATCCACATGTCTCATGTCCTAAAAAAAACCCAGACAGGTCCCTGAGCCCCTGCCAGCTGGGTCCAGCACTGGTGCCGAGGGAGCTCTGCCCATGGAGCGCAGCCCCTTGCCTGAGCACCAAGCAGAGGAGACCACCAGCACAAGGGAAAAACAGCTCTTGTACTGGCAGGCATGTCCAGGGCCTGTTCACAGCTCCAAGGGACTACTCTGCACCAAGAAACCATGTGAAGTGGTCATGTGGGGGCTGCAGAATAGGGAACAGTTTTTAGACCCCATAGTGTTGCTTACTTTGCCTGCAGGAACATGCAGGGAAGGTGCAGCCAGTTCATCCCCAGTCACTACAGGAGCACCATTTCTTTGGAGGCAAGGGACAAAACCAGCTCCAGTAATACCCCTGGAAGGGGTATTATGGCACCAGGTGAGACCAGCATAGCATTTCCCTTTGGTGCCTGCTCATGCTGCAGAGAAGCAGATGGATTTTTTTGCTGTGGACCTTCAATCCTACCTCCTGACTGGGAATGTCCATGCCAGGTCAGACCCTGAGACCACAGCAGCTGTGCCTGCTGTGTCTTGTGTCCCTTGAATGAAGCCTGGGAAGAATCCAAGACAGCTTTCACCATGCCTTGGAGAGAGAGGAGTGCTCTCATGATCCCAGCTGTGAAACCTGACAACCAGGGAACAACACAAACAATTCTCAATTTGCTTGCATAGATGCAGCCTTGTCTTTCTTTCCTGGCACTGTGCACCATCACCAAGAGAGCAGCTGTTTTGTCAGGTCCCCAGGAAAGCTTTTCGGTTTTAATATCTTGTTATCCCACATGTGAAATACAGGTCCCAGGCATGGATAAAAGGATTGCCGGTGATTCAACCGATGGTCCAGAACACCTCACAACAAAGTGATTGCTGCACATAGCCCCAGACCTACTGAAGGTATATCTGCATCACACTGCAACGGATCCTGATCCTGACCCAGCAGTCCCTGAGGATGCAGTGAGGGTAGGCACAGAACAGGAAAAACACATTTGGGGAGAGAGAAGCAGGAGGACTTGGAACATTTTTTACTGAAACTAGTTCTTGGCTGGGACTCAAGGTTTCTGACATGGCAGTGACTAGCGGCTTTCTTCAAGGAAAGTGGCTGCTTCCCTCTAAAGAGATCATTAACATTTTGTATCAGAAAAAACTCTCTCTGTAGTTTACAAAGTGCTGAGCCCTGCTAGTTTTTGATGGATTTCCAAAAGTCACGTTCTGGAGTAGGGACAGCTGCTGCATGGCTGGAAGAGGGACAGACAGCCAGGACCACATACCTGGCTCAGGACAGCATCTCCTCCTGTACTTCACTGGGGAGTAAGGGCAGCCTGCTGCCAGAGCTGGGACCTGGATCACCACCCCCTTGAGAGACACAGAAGACAGACCTGGCAGGGATATGTGATGAATGGCTGCATTGCTCTGAGGAGGGTGCGTTTACTGCTCCCAGAATAGATAGGAGCTATGAGTTTTGCAGCCACACTTTTACAGGCAGGTTGGCCGAGCCATTCCTCAAACTCTGATGGAAATAGATCAACCTGTTTCCAACATCCAAGAGGTTGGTACAAGCCCCTTCTCCCTCAGGTTCCCAAGGAACTGGACCAGGACTTTGTGTTCCTCGTCAGGGTAGCCTCCAGCCAAAGATGAGCCTGATCAACCCCACTGTAAGCCCCTTCTGCAGCCCTTGACCTGCACAGGTACCCACACCAGCTGCAGCAGCTCAGCCCCGGTGCAGATCCACACCGAGCATCCTCCCCCTCCCCAGCCGTAGCCCCTCACGGGTCACTGAGTGAGCAGCAGGAAGGCTTCTGCCCAAGCAAGCACCAGTTATCCTCCTTTTCCACTCAGACTGTTTGTCTTGGCTTCTCTTCCCATACCAGCTTTCCTTCTCTTCTTCCTTCTCCCCAGGATTGTATTGCTGGGGCTGTCACTGTAGTTAATGAGCTAGGACAGAGCTGGTGCTCTGGGAAAGTCATGCCAAGAGTCACACCCAGGGCACCGTATGTGCACAAATACCATGGAGAGAGACCCCCGAGGCGGGGAACATGTGAAAAAGAAACCCAATGGCTACCAACCAAGGAAGCTGTCAGACCTGAAGAGAAAAAGGGCTGGGGCTAAATTTGCATGCAACAGGTCTCACCACAAGCCATCAGGTGCCTGGACATCCCCTCACATGGACAGCCCAGCTACTGCATCACTGTGGATGACATCCTCTGAAGGGGCTGGTGCCCACATCGTTCCTGCCTTCAGGAACAGTCCCTGGGTCGTCTCACTCCCAGGTGCCCAGGCTGGCTGGCTGGCACTGTGGACTTCAGGAGGAGAGAACGGTGCCTTGGCTGTTGGCCATGCAAATCCCACTCATGCACATTCAGCCCATGTTTCAGCTGAACAGAGAAGCTTTGTTCAAACCTCACATGGCCTGAGCAAAAGGGCACTTCCCAAGGAGACATAAGGTCACTCTGGGGCAGCAAGACCCAGTACACAAACTGGAGCAGCAGCCCCAGTACACAAACCCCAGAGACCCAGGGCCCAGGAAGAAAATGGCCAGGGACTCACAGCTCATCCATGATGAGGGGCAGGATCTTGCCTTAACCATGGATGTGCCCAGGTGAAACCCTGCTTCCATTTCCCCAAAAGCTCTTTCTCTTCACCTGCACCCTAGCTGCTAGCAAGCACTGAACTTCCAGGGCAATCAATAGCATTGAGCAGCCACACTGCGCCTCAGTTTCCCTTCTCCACAAGAACAAAGCTCCAAAGCTCTTCATCCATGTCCCATGTTCCCTTGGGAGCTGAGAGCTGGGGTACTCCAGCTCAGAAGCTGAGCTGGTGGGACTGAAGTGTTTTGGGCTGGATGGTGCAATACTGGCAAGTTTTCTCCCACCTCATCTCTGCAATACAACCCCCTGGGGACCCACTCTGGCAGCCTGGCTGAGTGGCACAGAGCAGGGTGCCCGCCTTGCCATGGTGCCAAGAAACTCCCAGGAGACACTTGCAGCCCAGCTGCTGTAGAACATGTCCTTCACTCCTATGAAAGCCCCCTTCCTCACCTTGCACCCAGAACAGCCCCCTTGCAACTGTAGCAGCACTGGCTGCACACCCCATGCTCCACATTGGCCTTTGGTCTCAAACACAAGGTAGGGTAACTACTTACTGGCATTTCTTTTTATTTAACAAAATCACAGCACAATAAAAAAGAGAGAAAAGAAGCAACTTAAACCTGTAATTGTTGCATTTAACAGATCTAGCAGCAAATACCTGAGAGTGGTGCAAACACTGCTCACACATACCTGCCCGGGCAGGAGTGTGGGATGGGGTTTGAATGAAGTGATAGGCTGGGGGACCCAGAACGGGGGCAATGTCCCTGAGGAGAGCAGGGGCCAAGGGCAACATCACTGCCCACTCTGCTGCCACCGCATTGCTGGCTCCATTTCTACCTGTGAAAGAAGGCCAGGAGGGGAAACAATGCAGGGAGGTCAGGGCATGAGAGAGGACCTGCACCAGCCATGCCCTGCCTGAAGGCTTCTAGGTTGTGCTCAGCAAGGGAGCAGCACAGTGCATGGCCAGCGAGGAACATCTCCGTCCCTCCCTTCTATCCCCACACTGCCCCATCCTGACAGCCCTTTCCAGGGATGTAGAAGGACTCAGATTTGGGGCTGACAATGGAAACCAAAGAGATTAGACTAGCACTGGAGGTCACAGCTGCTGTGCTGAAGGGAAGGCTGAGACCCTTCAAACACATCTTGCAGAACAGTCCATCAACCAGCTTCCAGGCTGCGAAGGCGGCAGAGTCTCTGGCCTGGCAGCCCCTGTCTCAGCTGTTGAAGGTTGCTGGGTCACAGTAGAGATGGAGGGAAGAAGAGAGAGCAGGCAGGGGTCTTCCCAGCCCGACACACTGGCACGAGTCCCCAGGAGGGTCGGCTGGAGGTGAAAGCATGTTGGCTCCATTAGCTTCAGATTCACAGCTGGGAGACAGCCCCCACTCCAGGTGCTGGGGCTGGCCACAGGCTTCTTCAGAGCTTATTTGCCCTGGGTTTTGGCCTGGGGAAGTGAAAAAGATATCTGTGATAAGTGTGATCCTCAAGACAGGACCCTCCTCAGAGTCCCTTCCTCGAGGTCAGGGTAGTCACCAAGAGGTGCCCTCCTCTGGCCAAGCTATGGTGATGAAGCAGGGACCTGGCAGGGCTTGCAAAGCACCAAATAAACTCATTGCAAGCCCTCCCGGTGAAGATGTAGAAGTTGCAAGCTTCAAGCTTGTAGGGCAGAAGTGGGTAGGGATTTGTTCCCAGTGTCATTTGCTGTGGCACCCATCAGGCTCAGCCCAGGGTGGCACTGAGTGGGTAACAGCCCCAGGACTGCATTTGTTTGAGGTGGAAGAGGGTCTGCCAAGGAGCCAGACTGATCCCAGTTGAAAGAAGGAAGGATGAAGACTGAGACAAAGCATCCATTCCTCAGTAGAGCATGTCCCAGCTCTTCCCAGCAGCCCAGTCACACTGGGAAAAGCCTGTTTGGTGGTGGATAAACCCACCACTGGGCTGCCCCCATTACCAGCTGAGAAGAGGGACAGCCTACCTTCCTGGCAGAGCTGGCATCCAGCTTCTCTTGGAGGCGAAGCACCCACGGGGCTTGGAGAGGGGCACAGAGACGTTTGCCCTTTGTGGTGATAAACCTGCCAGGTCCATGGGGAAAAAAAAACAGATGAGGTGAGTAGAACACCCAGGGGATACTCAAGCACAGCTCAAGCTCCCACCCACTAGCCTCCCTGACTGTCCTCCTCCACCTCTACCTTGAGATGACTTTCTTCCCTGACTTTTGTCCCAACTTTCCCCCTCCCAGCAGATCCTGCTCTGATTGAGCCTCTCTTCCACAACCCTCCCTATTCCCTTGCCCTCAAAACTACCTCAACATCCCTCCACCACCCTTCTCTGCCTCCATCCCTCCCTCCCTGCAGGGTCCATCAATTAGCTCTTGTCCTTAAGCCAACACCACCCTGGAGCTCTTACACGGCAGCCGGGATGTCACAGCCATCCTGCACCAGCTGGAGCCGGTAATCCTGTACTATCCGCCGCGGGATGGGTGTCTCGCTTGTCCGCAGGCAGCAGTCAAGGACGTTGTTCCCACCATGGACTGGAGGAGGAACACAACAGGCAGGCTGAGTATCCTCTCCCTGGGTTGGCTGCACTTTCACCCAGCCTCCCCGGAGGAGGGGCAGGATGGCACCCATCAGAAATGCCCTCACACCACCCCAGCTGCACACACAGGCACGAGCCTTATTGCTCCCACACCCCAGCACCAGGAGCCCTCTACCTCCTTCCAACCAAAGCAAAGGAGATGAGAAACAGTGAAACGGTGCAGGGCAACCCTTCTGCAAGCCTGTGTCCCTCCTGCACCTCCAGGGCCAGTGCCAGCACCAAGAAAGGCAGGACAGGGGTCTTTACCTGGCTTCAGAATGCTGCAATACAGACACCCGTTCCTGAGAGGCTGAGAATGACTTCAGTTTTATTTGCTGAAGCAGTCATAGGTTTTGCAGCTACCTCATCACCAGCCCACCCCATACCAATCAGTCCTGTGACAGCTGGGGGATACAGCTCTCTGCAGAGTAGGGGACCTTGGCCACCCTGCAAACAAATGCTGTGTTCACTGTTAATGCCCACCAAGGATGACAGTGCCCAGGGATGCCTGTAACCCCAGGCAGAAAGGTGTGGTGCAACACCACAAGGCATCTGAACTTCCCAGCTCCCTGCAGCAGAGCAGAAGGCCTGGTGTCACACACCCAGACAGCAGTGACCTGTGCAAACCCCATGTCCAACAACAGCAGCCCCTCAAGTATGGGCTCTGCCCCAACACATGCCTTCCCTCCCACTCCCAGCCCCTTGTCCCCAGGCTGCCCCACATCAAAGAGTGCCAGGGATGCTTTGCTGGTGTGCTGGGGAGAATGGGACCAATATAAACCCAGCGCGGTGTGTACAGGCTGGTCTAGGGCACTGGGAGGCAGGATTGCTCCATAGCCTTTCCCAAGCTCGGTTTTCCAGCCCCAGTGCCCTGTAAGCTCCTGCTTGGACTTTGAGCAGGACAGAGTCCCTCTGGGACAGGTTACAAGAGTATGCAGGAGGGTTGCAACAGACCCCCAGTCATAAGTCCCTCCAGAAATCTGATGAACATGCAAAGGAGAGAAAGGAACTGGATCCTCTCCCTTCTGCAAGAAAGGCAGTCTGAGAGGTTCAGTCTTACCATCCAGGATACGTCCCAGCACCAGGAGACTAAGGCAGAGAAGATAGAGCCGCTGCATTTTGCTGATGAGTCTTGCAGAGGATGGGCTGAAGGCAACGGTGCTCTGGGTGGTAGAGGTGAGCTCTGAACAGCTTCCCTGTGCTCTGCTGCTGGTGCTCCCTGCTGCCTATTTATCCTTCCAGCCTGTGGCTTTCACTTTCTTTTGGAGAAGAAGGGTGGGAAGTTGCAACAAGTCTTGCCACAGGCTGAATTTTAATCTTTGAGCATTTCCCGAATATCCCGCCTGCTTTCCCTGTAGCCAGATGCTCTGCAGTTCCAGTCAAATAACCTCTTGCCCTCTCTGCTGCCGGCACCCAGGCCACAGGAGATGCTGGTCAGAGCCAATGCAGCTCCAGGGTCCCTTCACCCTGAAAAAGCACCCCAGGTCCCTGGGCAAGCATGTGGAGGATTTAGTCCTGTACACTGGGCAAGCATGTGGAGGATTTAACCCTGTCTCTCCCCTGAAGCATCTCTCAGTTGTTTTCATTAGATATAGCATAGGCTCAACCCACAGGTACTGGGGGGAGAGCTTGCCTCAATCCCATTTTTGCTTATATACCGATATTAGGGTGATGCCTGGCTACTGCTGAGCCCCCTCATCTGGTCACAGGAGCCTGTCTGGCTCACCCTGCTCTCCCTGGCAGGGGGTGGGGGGGCATATCTGAAGCTGGTGGATGTAGGGCAGCCCAGCCAACATGTTCCACTCCAGGGCCATGATCTCACATGCCAAAAGACAACCTGCTTTACAGATGTCCCAACAAACGGGATCATGGCCAAAGGCAGCTACAGATCTTCCTGGAAACAGGTTTTCTCAGCACAAGAGCAGAAATCCCCCACAGAGTCTGTGTGCAGGGAGCGAGTTGCCAGCAGCTCGCCAGCTGTGTGGGTACTGCAGAGAATGAAGACCAGCACTGCCACTGCAAACCTTCACAGGAATGCAGGGACAAGGGGCTGTTCCTCCTTGGTATAGTGACTCACCACCATGCCAGTGCCACCTGCAGTGATGTCCCTTAACCAGCCTGCTTCAGCCGTGATATGTGGCATGTGGGGTGCTGAGAGCAGTGGGGTTGTGCAGCCTAGGCAAGGAATGATGAAAGTGGTCTCACTGCTGCCAGCAGCTGCTTTGTAGGGGTTTGGAGAGGTGCCAGTGTCCGGCTCTTCTTGGAGGGGCCCAGAGACAGGATGAGAGGCAACAGCACCAGTTGCACCCAAGGAAATTCCCACTAATAGTAGGAAAAAAAGTTCCCCACAGGTCTGAACAAACTCTGGAGCAAGATCTGCATCCCTCTACCCTCTCACTTGCTCCAGCTTCAGCCTGTCCTCGCACCTCAGTGGAGAGCACTTCACAGCCCTTCCACAGGGAAAATTATCTATGGGACAAGACACAGGGCTGGGACCTGGGCACCTCAGTAGGTCTTCTATCAGCAGTAGCAGATAGCAAGCTCTGTCCCTTCCCTGCTCCACGATAAGGACAAGAAGAGACTCCAGCTGTGTTACCAGCCAAAGTGTTTCATCCCTGTACTGGCATTGGCACTGGCACCAGCCTCGTGCATGGGGTGGTCTCCTCCATCAGGAGAGCAACATCTCCGGCCACTCCTGGCAAGCTGGTGCTGTGCTGAAGGGATTAGGCAGGGGTGGGTGGGCAAAATGAGCATCACAAACAGGATGTGCCAGCTTAACTTCAGTCAGCACCTACCTTTTTCTAGCACTCACAAGCTATTGAAGACAAATCTTGGCTGGCAGAAGGGGAATTTAGGTGTCAGAGGATTAGTGTCAGTCATCAGCCCCAGCCTCATGCGGGTTTGGGGATGCAGGATGGCTCTGGGACCTGATCTCCACTTGATCTCCCCGCGGCGCTGGCAAAGAGATGCCACATCAGGGAGGACAATGGCTCTGGCTGCTGATGCTGGTGGTCAGACCTCCAGACACAGCCACTCCTAACCCAGAGCCATCTCCTCCCTGGGGGCTGGACTGACAACTTGAAGCCGCCTGCAAAGAGGGGGACCCATAATCAGAACCCTGTCCCTTGCCAAACACTTGCCTCCTCACATGTTCAGTGGGTTTGACAGCTACCAAAGCATGCTCAAAGGATTGGACAAGAGTGCTGGGCAGTGCTTGGGGTCCTGTCCTGTGGGACCCCTCTCCAGCAACTGCTGGGGTCCTGGTCCCTGCAGCAAGACACATTTCTGGCACAGGAAGCTTCCACCTGCTGCAGGGTCCTGGCTGGCCACTCACTGAAAGCAGTGTGTCCAGTGTTGGGAATACATCCTTCTGGGGATAAACCCCTTAACTGCCTCTGGCTGAAGGGGCCTGCAGCCCCTGCCAACATATGGGCAGGAAAGAAAGGCTCTGCTTCCTCCCAGCAGCTGTCTGGGTGCCAAATGGGTGAAAGCACAGCTACTCCAGTCACTTCTGCTCCCCAGGAGGGGCACTGGAGAGTGAGGAAAGGGGCTTTCCATACATGTTGTGAAAGGGGAATGTGGCGGGTTTCCCCCCTCTGCTGGGGTCAGTGGGATTTCTAAGAAGAGAGTGGTCATCTCTGAAGTGCATCCCTGTGGTATGCAGGGAGGTCACCCACATCCCCCTTGCAGGGCTGAGCCTCGGGGACCAGAAGAGACGGTGCAGATGAGGAATAGAGGATGTTTCAGGGTCCGGGCTCTTCAGAAGCATATGCAGGCAGGGAATGGTCAGGGAATCCAGTGCAATTTGGGAAGAGGGAAGAGCATTGTTCATGATGACCCACTTAAGCCTCATCCAGAGCAATTTTAGAGCACTGGAACTCCAGCCCCAAGAACACCACAGGCAGTGTGAAGCACCCCATAGCACTCAACCCTGCAGAAGCCTCGATAATGCAGTTGTTATTTAAAGTGGAAATCATTCACAGGGAGGATCCCCATGGCAAATCCAATCTGTCAAAATGTAAACGGTTTGTGTGAACATCACCTTGGGGTGATCTCCTTGGGGAGCACCCACCACACTGCCACTCTCCCAGAGACCTGCCAGCTGCAAGAGCCCCCGGGACAGCTGCTCACTGCCAGCTCGTGGCCCCCAGCACTCTCCCCAGGTTGCCTTGCGGTGCTCTGCCTTCCACCTCCAATCTACGGAGCTGGAAGGGGCAAAGGGGGAATTTCAGCAAATTCCAGACACAGCCAGTCCCTGGGGCAGGATCTTGCCTGGCTGCATTCACCTCATTAGGAAATACTGGGCAGGCATTGCAGCTGTTCCAATTTCCCTTGCAACTCCTGGCATGAGGGAGCCTCCCGCACAACTCCCATTGCAGTCCCAGTCCTGGTGCAGCACAGGGACTGGGGCATCCACCAGACCACAGGGCTCAGGGCCTCACTGCATCTCTTCTAGTTGAAGGAACCTCATCAATCTGATTTAAATGGAGTTAAGGAAAAAAAAAAAGCAAGCCATGACTTTGCCCAGAGGGAGCAAAGATAGTCCTGAGGATCTGGCTGAGGGATACAGAAGGTGACAATTCTTACTCTCTTAGACCCCATCTGTCCCTGACACCTGTTGAGTTCAGTGCCATTAATGTTAAGGTCACTGTAGACAATAGGAATCAGAGCCAAGACCCTTCAACTGGGCCCTGATTAACCCCCTCAGGTGAGCACCCATCTCCTAGGGTCCCTGCCGCACACTTGTCCCTCAACATCATCTTTGGGCTGCACAGCTTCCCTGCCAGGTGCTTCCTGCAAATGACCCTGGACATGCTGTGATGGCACCGAGATGGCAGTGGCCAGGTGGGATGCCCCCAGGCCTGGGTCCCTGCCATCACACTGCCTGTCCTCCTCTCTGCAACCTCTCCAGAGGTTTCAGGAGAGGACGGCTGGGGAACAGCTCTAAGACCTGTGCAAAACCAGCCCATCAGCAATTTCCTTGCCATCTCCCATGTAACTTGGCAGGAAGCATGCCCAGTGAGGCTGCACCCAAACTCACGTGTGGACAGATCTAAAACCACTGTGGAATGGACTAGAAGCCATGAAGGCTGCTCTCTTTCACTGCTCTGTTGGCTCTTAGATCAACACTGGCCAGAGGAGGGTGTGGGGTTCTTGGTCTGGCGCAGCTTTGGGACATGGCTCATTTTGGCCCCACTGTAGGACATCCTCAGAGGAGAGCAGATGCTCTTCCACTGCCCCTAGAAGAGCTGCAGCCCAGGAGCAGGTCTGCAATCCCCAGCAGGATAGGAGGAAGATGGGGGCACCTGGGAACAGAAAGAGAACTGGCAGCACAAGGACACCCCAAAGCCAAGGGTCAGCAAAATGGAGAATGGGAGAAGGAGGGCATTTGGGAGCTACTACATGTAGGTGAAAAAAGGCTTGAGAGGAGGGTCTGAGCTGGGGACCATTAGGCCAAGATGGGGGCCAAGGAATGGCCAGGACTGGGAAATACCTTGCAGCAGAAAGGGTGGGAATCCCTGTTACCCACCAGCCACTTCTCCACTCCTCTCTGCTCTCAAGACCATGGCAGACCCCAGGATGTCAGCGTTGGTGGAGAGAGCACCAAAAAACACCTTGACGCTTCAGTTGGAAACCACAGTTCCTCTAGCACCCACGCAGCCCCAGAAACAACCCTTGGCACCTGCAGGGCTGCTGCAGCATTTCTGGCTCCTGCTTCTCAGGAACAGCGCAGGGTGGATGGACGGAGCTGGTACACATCTCCAGGTGAGCCTTGCTGGAGCTCAGCCCGGCATTGCTGCCCAGCACGATCCGCTGACGGCACAAGCCCGGAGCGCTGTCTGCGCCAGCTAACAACTTGAGCTAATCATTTGGCCTGGGTTCAAGACTTCCCTTTTCTTGGCTGAACTCTGTGCTTTCCGTCTTGCCTCGCTACTTTCTGCTGTCACTGAAGCCTTTCTGCTTCAGGGTGGCCAAGCTCTCCTAACTTTTTGCTCTGCTTGACATGGTTGTAACTTTCCTGCCTTCCCTGCAGAATGTCAGTATGGCTTGTACTGCCCCAGCACACGCTGCATCAATGCTGCCTTGGCTTTGCACATGGGGTGAAGTAGCGGATTTGCCCTGCCCAGAGGTACAACTGCATGAATCCTCCTCTGCTGCTTCACTCTGGCATCTTTCTTCTTAGAGCATTTTCTTTTTATCACTTGTCTCAACTGGGGTCTGTGGATTCATCTCCTCCATGAGGAAGGGGTGCTGGCCCCTGCTGTGCACTCCAGATCCCAGCCCATCGCCTCTCCCTCCAGCCTCTCTCAGGGAATCTCCTCGGAGGTGTTTCCCTGGTGCCATCTCACTATGGCTGGTCTGTGGCCACCTGTCTCATCAGCAAGACTCCCATTCACCCTGACACCTTATTTTCCTTAAAATCAGCATTCTGCAGTAATGTGCTTAAAAGCACATTCTGGAAGTCGTGTGCAAATGCCCATGTGTGTGCAGGCACAGTCACACATGGAGCTGCATTTATGCAGCTGTGTCCATGCTCACGTGTGCCCTCCTGAGCAGGTACCTGTGCCTGAGCACAGGACAAACTCCAGTGCTCTTCCACAAGCCGTGCTTTTAGGATAAATTTTAGGCTAAATTAGAAAACCCCAATGGGCATGTCTTCTTAACCTGCTTTAGCCTAATGCCCATCTAGCATTTCAGGAGAAAAAAACCCATGCAGTGTTTACATCTGCAGCCACAGAGACACCAGGATACATTTCACATGCTGGCTCGCTCCTGCCATCTGCTCGTGCTTTTCTGGTTGTGGTTGCAGACGTTATTTGTCGGGCTTTGTTTCTAGTGGGGTTTTGCAATCATTTCACAATCTCCTGACATCACAACCAGTACAAGGAGTCCTGCAGAAGGCAGGGCCAGCCTCACAGGGCTGAATGCTGTGTGTCTCCAGCAAATCTAGGGTTGCCTCCAGCCCTCCCATAGCATCTCCAGTTGACTTCCAATGCACGGAGGTCAGTTCCCAGGCTCCCAGCTAAGCCCAGGTCAGAGCACAGCCTCACTAATAACTTGGTTTAATGCTGTTTCCATAAAGCAGCAGGGAGCACAGAGTGCCAGCTTCGAGCGAGAAGTACTTGTCCAGGGAAGTTTGGAGCTGGAAGAAAAACTGCCATGAGGAAAAGGCATCACATACAAAACTAGTTTGTTCCCCCGTGTTTGCTGGCATCTCAGGACCCCTTGGCTCGGACAGATGAGCAGACAGAATGGCTTCACTATGCTGGGCAACACAGCTGCAGGAGAGGGAACTTGCATGGCTCCTGTACCCTACGTCAGCATTTCCCAGCCCCTGCACCCCAGGGATGCAGCACCCAGGGGATCTGCAAAGACCAGGACCTGGGGGATGATGGTGTGTCAGGCAGGAGAGCAGACCCTCATGAAGTCCCTCCCACTCCCCTCAAAGCCCATCACAACAGCCAGAAGAAGTGAGTTTGGTTGTAAAGGATATATTTTATTGCCTCGCATCCTGTCCAAAAGCCATCTGGCAGACGGCTGCACACTCCCACATGGAGGAGAGGGCAGCACAGAGCCAGCTCAGCACTCGTCCTGTACTCAGGGCCGGTATCTTGGACTTCACAGTTTCTTTACACTGCCTTAAAATAGTAGATCTAAACGTATGTCTAATAAGCAATCAAGCCTGATAAATGTGCTTGATAGAAACACTCAGCTACAAGCTTTACTCCAGCCAACACACAGCCTTTGCTGATACTGTTAAGTCCTGCAAATCCTATTATTGCAATTATATGACTTAATAGACCTTTACTGACTAAAGTTCACGTCTGAAGTCTCTGCAAGCAGATAGCACTGCAGCTGCGGTACAGCCTTTCAAATTGCTCCTTCCTGGCATGCTGGAAGGGGTTTGCAAGCCATGGGGAGATGCCATTTCCCCACCAGCCCTGTCCCAGAGGACTGTACTTGCAGTCTCACCTTATGGTGTCCTTGGACTAGTGAGTTCTCATTTTACTAAAAGTTTGGGATAGTGCTGCTCTCAAACATCTGCAACGTGACTGCAATGAATTTTGAAGTCTTCTATTCCCCAGCCTGTGTAGCCTCACATGTGTTTTTTACCATGTGAGCTCAGACTTGGGAAGAAAGTACATGAGAGTTTCTTTTCTTTCAGAAAACTAGGCATTTGGTTTAATAATGTCTGAATCTCTGATAACAGCAAAATCAAGGGAGATAAAAGGGTAAAATTCCAATAGAATGAAAAATTTGTTCTGATTTCATTGCACTTTTGTACCAAAAAAAAAAAAAAAAAATTAAAAAATCACAGGGACAAACTTCTTGCAAACTACACTGCAACAGCACACTATAAAAAATGAAAAGAAAGCCTAGAACAGCCCAGACATATAGCCACACTGCCACCCCCACTTTCCTCAAAATCTCCATCTTAGCCACTATTAATTGCCCTGCAAGAAAGCACCCAGCAAGCATCCCAGGCAGGACCACGGGGACATGGGACCTGTCTGGCACCCCATGGCCCTTGCAAGCCAAAAAGGAGCAAACGGGTGAGAGGGAAATGAAACCCAGCCATCATTTATTTGGTAGAAAAATAAGAGCAATCTTCCAGAAAAGCCAGCTTGCAGCATAAAGGGTACTCTGTGAAGCACAAGGAGCCAGAAGTAAAGCCTTCCAGGAAGACTGAATGAAAGCACAGTCTTTAAATATAAATACAAATGTATAAAACTCCCCAAAAAAAGTCATAGGAAAAGCTGCCATCCTGCCAGGCTACAGAAATCCCCTCTGGTGGGAAGGCTGCCCACTCCCCCCCTGGGGCCATGGCTCAGCTCCCATGCAGGTCCAGGTCCCCCAGTGTGGCCATCAGGCGAGTGAGGACCTGGGTGCCCCCCACCACTGAGATGACCCAACCAGTGCAGGTGGTCCTGGCTGGGGCATCTCTGCAGCAGGCACAGCAACCCCAAGTGGGCTGCGGAGCAGAGGGCAGCCCCCTCAGCCAGCCCCGTCCTTGCCTTGGGGCTGGCAGGCAGGTGAGTTGTCTGTGGATATCCATTGCCAGGCGGTGGGTCAGTCATTGGTGGGGAAAGCATCCGTCCTAAGGGAGACAAGGAGGGAACAAGGTGGAGAGAGTCTCAGCAAGAGCACCCACTCCAGCCCATGGCTATTGCTTTGAATGACGTGCCTTGCCCATCCCCAAACATTGCCTTGTTCCCATAGCTTCAGAAAGAAATCTGATTTTAAGGTAAGCACAGACCAGGGGGGAGCTGTGCCCTAAGCACCTCCACGCTCCAGCCTCAGCTCCAGCAGCCCTCCCAGGCTCAGCCTTTGAAGCCGTACACCTGCTGTCCCACCGAGAAGGATTTGGGATGGGGTGCAGCACCCTCACCCCATCACCCTGTGGCACCCTACTCCCCCCACCTACCTCTTCAGGCCTGACTTAGACCCTCTGCCGCTTCAGCCGCTTGGGTACGCCTCTGGCACGTGGGGACTGTCCCTTCTTCTTGTCCTTCCTGTCATTCTTGACCTTGTCCAGGTTCTGCATCAGCTTCTGGATGGCAGGGTCAGCGGGTGAGGCGCAGATTTTCTTGTTCTTCTTGGTGGTTAACCTGGGGGTGCAGACAGAAAGGTTTTCTGGGGAGTGGACAGGGGTAGGACATGGGGAAGGAGAATATGGCTGGAGCCAGACTGCTCCAAATGGTCTTGACCACAGCAAGGTACTTACACGACAGCACGCAGCACACATCCTGACTCGGGTCCCTGGAGCCTGTAGGACTTCACCCAGCCACTGTGAATGGTTTTTCGGCTGTGCTTCAGGCAGCAGTCTGTGGCTGAGCTGCCAATGCCTGGGAGCAAGAGGGGCAGGTGGAATTTTGGACCCTCACCAAGCCAAGGCACCTTCCCATCCCTTGGGAAGCACAGCATGGCACAGGGTTTGCTTGGTGTCATTCACAGGAGAGATGTTGGGGCAGCATGTGAGGGTGGGAGCTCTCAACCCCAGTGCCCAGTTGCAGGTCAAACCCTTCCCCAGGGATAGGTGACACCAATTTCACTGCCAGCAGAGGGTAAACTGAGGCAGAGATGAGCTCCTTGCAAAGGCACTGAACCTCATTCTCCTGCCTGTGCTTTTCAGCTTGGGGCGCTGCAGCCCCACCAGCCATGTGCACACACACATGCTCCCGAGACTCGCAAGCACTGCAAGCCGATGCCACACACCAGACACGTGCACACACACACAGCTGCACTGCAAACCCCACACCCGCTGCCACGCGTGCACCCAGGTGCACGGCAAACACCCTCTGCGCACTGCAACCACACCACCCAGCACTCTGCGCAGGGCCTGCCAAGCACCCGTGTCCCCTGCCCCATCCCCCCCGCAGGCAGGCAGGAGGGCTTCGTGCCCCTCACCTTGAACCTGGGCGATGAGGAAGGTGGCAGCTATCAGGAGCAGTGGCAGGAGGAGGCGCAGAGCCATGGTGGGTGCTGCGGGTGCTGAGCTGGGCAAGGCGGGGGAGCAGGACGCACACTGCTGCCTTGTGCCGAGGCTGCTCCTATTTATCTCTGCACTCTTTGCTTTCATTTTCAGTCAGCCTGGCAGGCAGCCCACCAGCCAGCCAAGGGCTGGGTGATGGACAAGCGGGAGGGTGGGGGATTCCTGTAAGCTGTGAGCCCCCCTTTACAGATGCGTCCTGTCTTGTTCCCAGCTGCTCATCACAGCATGGGGTGCCAGGCAGGGGGCACACCGGAGACACAGCCCCCATCACGGCTAGATGAGTTTGTGAGCTCCAGTTTCCTACCATGTCTTGCAACCTGCCACTACCTGTTCTTGGAGGGTCGGGTGTTGCTGCTTGACTGTTTGCTCCCCAGGCAGGGACCCTGGCAGGTGGCCAAGCCATTAGGGAAACCAAGGAGTCAATCTGTTTTGCTCCCCCACCTTATGCTTTGCTCCCAAGCCAAGCCACCCAGCTGTGGACCTGTGAGAAGAGGCTCAGGGTGACCCAACATCCCAGCCCCTTGAGCCCCCATCCCTCTCAGGCTGCCTCAGAGACCTCCCCAGACAGCTGAACACATCTGTAGGGCTGGGGTGTGCAAGGGCCAGACTGCAAATGGGACTGAGGGAGATAACACAGCCCACCATACGTTGGTGCTGATACCAAACTGCGGGGAGCTGAGGATGAGCAAGCACCTTGACCAGCTGGAGGAAAGGACTGACAGGAACCTCCTGAGGTTTAATGCAGACAAGATGCAAAGTGCCACAGGCAGGATGGCATGACCCTGTGCAGCTGGATGGGTTGGACATGCCTGGCAAGATGGGGGCTATGGAAAAGTGAACCTGTGGAAGTTGAACAGGAGCCTGTAGGGTACCCCTGTGGTGACAAAGGCCACCCAAAGAGATGGCCACGTGGCCAAACAAGAAACCCTAAGAAACCCAGTGTAACACTGGTCCTGCTCTGAGGAGGGGATGGTCAAAGACCTCCACATTTTCATGTGATCACCAGGGCATGCTCTGGAAGAGACCTAGGATGAAGGTTTCACAACTGCTTTGGGCAACCTGTTTCGGTGCTTAAAATGTTCTCATGTTGAAAACATTTTCCCCACTATTTAATTGGAATTTCCCTTGATGCATCCTCTGCCACTGCATCTCACTCTGCCCCAGGGCCTCCCTGAGAAGAGACAGGCCCCAGCATCTCTCCAGCCCCCCTGGACAGCCTCCAGCAGAAAGGAGCCCCTTATGCCATCCCATCCCCAGCTTCACCACCCCACCGCTCACAGCTCCCCTTCGCTCACCCTGGCCTCCAGCTCCTCAGCCAGCCCCAATCCCACTGCCCATGCCAGCTCTGTTCTGGGAGCCCAAAGGGTATGGAGAGCCCCAGTGGGATCTTCCTGGTGCTGGTGGGAACCAAGCCCCTTCCCAGGCCCCACTGCCTGCAACCTGGAGTGCAGCCTCAGGACTTTTTTACCTGTTCCTGATAAGGACCCTCATAAACCAAGAGCAATGAGTAACCTAGGGGCAGACCAAAGTCCCCGCTGCTGTAGAAAGCAGACCTGCGATAAGATGCCCACACTCTTGACCCCTCAGCAGGGAGAGAGCAGTGTTGGAGTCATGAAGAGAGAGATCACCAACAACTTCCCTGCAGTTTTCTCTTGGGCAAGGAGACCTGCAAACTGTAGCAGCTTTCTGCCTCCCTCAGGGACAAGCTGGGTGCGTGGGACAAGCGTGGGATCCAGGGCTGCACTTCTGGGTCTTCCTCCATCACCTGTGCAGAAAAGAAAGGGAGCTCCCATGCTTGGGGGGTATCCATTTGCCCAGTACCTGGATGGGAGGGTGCAGCTCCCCACGCACTCCTGCAGCACCAAGGTTGGTGTGGTCTCGGGCAGCAGCCCCTGGGGCATGCAGCAGGCACAGGCTATGGGCAGCAGCTGGTCACCTGTGGGTTTATCTCCCCAGTGTGGCTGGCAGCACAGGGAACTGGTCTCTGGAGGCATCCTGTTTGATCTGACCCATCCCTCCAGCCCCAAAGCACTGGTGGCATCAGGACAAGGCAGGAAAAGGAGAGCCATGCTGGCACTTATCGCCTTTCCAGCCTTTACTTGTGCAACCTCTCCAGGCAGCAGTGCCCAGGCGCTGAGCACCTGGATGAAGCCCCACCCTTGGCACAGCTGGAACACTGTCCCTGTGCTGGAGAAACTGGAGCAGCACTGATCCCATAGCCACCCACCCTGGTCAAATCTCTCCCAGAGCCTCTGTGGTATCAGGACAAGTGATGTGGAGGGAGGGGAGACATGTCAGGTTGTCCCCATCACAGACCTGTCCAACTCAGGGGTCCCTCTTCTCCAATTTGCCCAGGAGAGCTCTGTGGTCCCAGTGCAGAGCCCAGATTCCTTTCTTGCCCAGTCCCAGCCCCAGCCATAGTAGCAGGCGCCTGGAAAGTCCCTGGCTCTCTGTGTGTTTTCAAGACACCACAATAGCATCCTCTGGCGAGAGGCCAGCCCCAAACACAGTCTGAGCTGGAGCAGGGTCAGGGCACACGTTCCCTTCACAGTCATCAATCTTTGGGGACCTTCTGGTTGTTACAATTTGCAACCTGAAGAAAGCAGCCGGCTGAGCAGACCTTCACTCCAATCCTTCCAGGGAAGGTGAATTGGGGAGGACCCAGGAGGTAACAAACTAAGGGCAGGAGTAGTTGGCCATTGCTCTAGCTAAGCAATGCAGACACACCTGTATGCATGAGCAGCAGGCCCCCATGGAAACCAGCCTGGGGATTCATGACCCATCTCTCCCTTCCCTCAGAGCCCCCCCCATTCACTCCTTCGTCTCCCAGTGCCTTGCTCTGACACTTGTCCCCCCAGCTCAGGGAGAAAGCAGGGAGCTTCTTTCAATGAGAGAGGGATGAGCATCTCTGTTTGCAGGGTTGTCGCAAGGCAGAACAAACTTTTAGGATATAGAGGAGCTGGCAGGGACAGGGTGTGGAGAGAAGAATTTTTAGGGCTCTCCAACACCAGCAGCCTCCAGCAGCTTCTCTGGCCAGGCACAATTTCTTGTACGCACCCACATAAGACCATTTCTCACCAGCTTTGGCTCCTGCAGCCACCATTTTCCCAGATCTCAGAAGTGCAGGATGGAGGCAGATGCAGGGAGGGGCACATAACCAGACAGGGTGCCCCTCTGTGGTGTCTCAGCCACAGGGAACCCCTTTCTGGCCCCAGAGTCTGTGTCAAACACCATACAGAGCTTTTGCAACAGGGCTTCATGCAATGGTGCCTCCAGATACCCCCCTGCTCAGGCAGCCCAGCCTTCTGTGCATCCCGGTGGTGGAGGGACCTCCAGGCTGCAGGAAGAGGGGACAGTGTCCTAGGCAGAGACTACTGTGTCTCCGTGCAACAAGTGTGCAAAAACAGTGGGACCATAGCAAAGTTCACCAAATCACCTTTCTTGTGAACCTTTCCCAGGTAGTGAAGCCATTGTGGCAGCTTGTATGGACTCACTCAAGCCTCCAACTCAGATGCTTCCCATGTCTGCACCCTGCACCCCAGCACCAGAGCCTGGAGTTTGAGTATGAATTTCTTCCCTGGCTTCCATCATTACAGTTTCCTGGCATCTCACTCCATGATCTCCATGATGAGATCCTCTCTCCTGATCCCTCAGACCTTCTCTTACCCAGAGCTGGGCTGCCCTTCAGCCCTGCAAAAGCCCCCTGCTCAGTCCAGCTTAACCAGACTGCAGGGTCTGCTGCCCAGCTGGCTCGGCGCTGGGAGCAGAAACTCCTCGGGTACACGCATGGTCTGAAGGCATCAAGGGGAGCCAACGAGGGGGACTGGGAATTTCCAAATCCTTCTGGATGCTGCCTCCAAGTTAAAGTCACTGCTAACAGGAACAGGGTCGCTCAGCTCAACTCAACCCGCTGACCAGCAAATTCCTTCCTGCAGAGGCCCAATTCCCAGGACCCAATGCAGAGGTAGTTTGCAAAGCCCAGCATGGAAAACCCCCATGGCTGGGAAGGAGAGCAGGCTGCCTGCCAGGCACACCGTATAGAAACGCCGTATAGCGAGGCGGTCCACGGGAAGAGGGAAAGAATTGCTGGAAGCCAGCAGCACACGAGCCGGGCAGGCTCCTTGCTGGCTGCCGCTCCATCTCCCGGTGTTTGGCGAGGCTGATGGGAAAGAGCAGTATGAGCACAACATGCTGGGAAGAGCAGGGAAGCCAGCTCCCCGGGAGTCCCCTCCCTGTGCGTGGGCGCTGGGGACAGCTCGGCTTGGAGAGGGTCTCCCTCCAGGAGAAGTTTGCCCCCCCCCCCAGCACATCTCAGGCAGAAATTTGGTTTCCCATCTGAGTGTGGGTGCAAGGAGTTAACCCTTTGGTTGGTAGCAGTCCTGCAAAACGCATCAGACACTTCAGGGCTGTTGGAAAATGTGCAGGGGGGTTAGCAAGCAGGCTGAGAGGGACCTGTGTGGGTCCTGTGCCATGGAAAGATGCCCTCTTCCTACAGCGTCCTCTGCGTGGCATGCAGTGCTGCCTGTAGTGCTCCCTCAGACCCAAAATGAAGGGACTGGGCAGGATATGTGTTTTGTCTCCCCACGGAAAGCATGTGGTCAGGGTTACTCAGCTCTGCTGATCCAGGCATTACCCAACATGCAGGATCGTTTGGTCTCGAGCTGCTCTAAGCATGCACATTTGTTGCTACGTCACCAGGAAATATATTCAGTGATGAAAGGGGTGATGGCTCAGAGCCTGTCCCTCTGTGGCACAGCAGAGAACTCTATGGGTTGGCAGAGGTTCATGGTGGAAAGGGGACATAGAGAGAGGGTCCTGCCCTTGACAGAGATGCTAGGCCAGAGAGATGGAGATGCTGCAGGGAAGAGGGGTTTAACTGCTGTTTGTATAACCCTCCAAAAACTGTGCCCCTCTCAGTCAGTCCTCAGCCTTTCCACCAACCACAGTTCCAGCACCCCCTCTTCCACCAAGAAGCACTTCAGTCCTCCATCCAGAAATCCCATGGTTCCTCATACGGCAGCATAAAACTCAGCAGGAACTGCTGGTGCCAACCCAGCCTTCGTTGAAAGTGGAGATGTAACAAATCATAAATCCTCTCACGGCAAGGCGAGCAGCAGCCCCCAAAGCAAGGTACGGTGTTGCATGCCAGCTGAGCCAGAAGCTCTGTGCAGTTTGAAATGGGTGGGTTGGCTGGGCCCTATCCGGGCTGGGATGTGCACACGCGTACACTTCGTGCAAAGGCAGTCATTCTGGTGTATGAACTGAGAGAGACTCAAGAAGCTGCTGGGAAAAAAGCTGCTGGAGTGTTGTCGAAAAGGAATCCTCTCCTTCTCCATCTTGGGATATCAGACTTTGCACTTGACACCAGGCAGAGCCATGCTGCAGACACCCGGCAGCCCACTCTGCCCTGTGCTTCTGGCATGAGCTCAGCTCTATGGTCTGGAGAGCCCAGATCCAGCCTCCAGAGCAAACAGCAGCTGGCACACACAGCAAGTTCATCAGGAGGTGGGAAATGGAGATGGAGAAATTAAAGACGACTGAAGGGAAATGAAGCAAAACATCAAGAAAGCTCTGGAGAGTTTGTTGAAGACATTAGAGCAACACGTAAACTAAGAACTGGATATGCTCCAGCCAAGACTGGAAAACACCAGAGAGGGGCTCTGCTCCTGGTGGTGGCTCAGCTGGCTGCCCCACCCAGGGAAGCAGCCACCCAACACCCAGACAACAGTAGAAAATGCAAGAGGCAGAGAGAAAGCAAAGAGAAAGGAGATGAAGCTCTGCAGGGCTAGAAGCTGCCAGGCGCTGACACCAGGCAGAGACCTGCCATGCTGCCTGCTGGCTTCATGGTCCACAAGCATCTGGACCTGGCATCAGAGGAAGCATCGGTGCAAAGAGGGCACTGGAACAATCATTGGCCAAGCCCTTCCTTGCAGCCTGCACAGAAAGGAAACCGCTGCTGAAAGGGACAGAAACAGCCTGGGGGGCTCTGGGTGCCCAGCTATGCCATGGACAGGTCCTATACTGCCTGGATATAATTAAAAAATAGGAAGAAGTTATGTACTAAATATAACTAATCTTTAGCAGTAATTCAGAGCAGCAGGGCAGAGGGATGGAGCCATCAAAACCCTGTGATACCTGACTTCACTGTGAGACTGGCACTTGAAGACATGATGAGTGACCTGAGGCACGTTTTGGCACCCAGACAAACAGGAGTAATGCAGAGGGGATGCCCTGCACTGCCAAGGAGACCTGCACAGT